TATTATTAATGCAACTGTTGTTTATCACTAGGTTATTAATCCAAAAGATCTGAAAGACACATTATAATTTCAAATTTCATAGTTCTTAGAAATTTTAGACCTTAAATAATAGGTTAGTTTCTAGTTAACTTAATAACTAAACTATTTAAAGAATCAGTAATACATTACACTTGTCACAGTTAGTTTGAAAATAAAATAAAATTTTAAATCATGTTCTAGATAATTAAACCACTTCAGCTAGTGTGCAATAAAAAACAATAGGATATATTTATATAGTTATTATTTTTTTTTTTTAATGAATTTACATTTTTATTATTATTACATTACACTATCACTATGTGTGACCTAGGTTGCGATTTAAAACCAAATAATTAACTTCTTTTTAATTGAGTTAAATTAACATTTTTTCAACATTTTAAACTTTTAGAGTTGAAAATATTGTTTGTTCTTTATTGTCTATTAACGTTTAAGTTATAACTTAACATTCTAAACGTTTAATTAACTTAATTAACTACAGTTAATTTATTACCAAACTCTTTTACCTTTGTTTGATTCTGTCACTATAACAACTAATAAGTAATAACACAACAAATAATTATTTAATTACATTTATTAACATTAATATAGTTGAAATCTAAGTTACAAATAATCCTTCGTTAATTCTAAACAAATATTATTATTAAATTAATAATATATCTAAGACTATATTTAGGTGATAAACTTTAAATTCAATAAAATAATAATAGCGCGTTAAACAATAATATTAAAGGTCGATGAAAAGTGTATACAATATTGCATGTATTTCTATTTTGTAACAATTTGAGCATATCAATTAACACAATTCTAAATCATAATCAATAATTATATATCGTGGGCTATAGCTAAATATTTTATGTTAGCCAAAAATATGTAAATTATATTTACTCACCAAATTCAGTAGGTACTGCTTTAGGTAACAATCGAGTGTGTTCAGGATTACTTAACATTTTAGTTGTAAAATGCTTACCACAAACTCGTACATTCTTTAGCAAGTATTCCAATGACTTGTCACGAAGATCAAGTCTATCGCAATTTTGTAACCACTCGTGAACACTATAAAATGATAAATGTATATTTTAGTTACATGTTGTACTTGTTAACATTTTTTTTTCCTTGTGTTACCTACAACAAATTAAATACACAATATACTTACAGTGTTTTATCATTGGGAATCTTATGTAATTTACAATCCTTATTTTGGCTTTTAACTTTGCTGTTCACACACTTTCTAACGGCACAAACAAATACCATCTTAAGAGATTGGTAAAACAATTAACGAAAAACAAATATGCGATATTAAAATATAAAATTCAATGTCGAAACAGTTAAGACTCAATGACTGCAGACTGAACAATGAATCTTGACAAATGCAATGAATCATAAACGGACAAATGGAACAACATTTTGAATCTTATCACAATAACAAATGTCAAATGATAAGGGTTTTCCTTCTTTAAAATGGCGGAATTGATTTTGATAATACTGTTAAGTGTCCAGGGCCTGG